TTATAATTCTGGGATTCACATTTAGATCTTTAATCTATGCTAAACTGGTATTTGTACATGGCATGGGATAAAGGTCTTGTTTCAACCTTTTGCATATCATTCTCCAGTTATGCCAACACCAACTATTGAAGAGGCTATGTCTTCCCGGCTCAATGTACTTTGGCCCTTTGTCAAAGATCAATTGTCTGTATATGGATGGGTTAATTTCTGGATTCTCCGTTGATTTCTGGATACATTGTTCCATTGATCTATGTATCTTTCATTGTACCAGTACCAGGCTGTTTTGACCACTGTATCCATGCAGTAAATTTTTAAATCAAGGAGTGAAAGGCGTCCAACTTTGTTCATCTTCTAATTGTTATATCTTTATCTTTCATGATGTTAGGGAAGTTTTCTTTCTGCAACTCTTCAACAATATTCTCTGTCCTTTTAATCATCTCTTCCTGTTCATAAATTCTTTCAAAATTTCCATAAGCTAGTCCTCTTCCTGGTATTCCACATAAATCACAGGTTTTTTTCCAATTTATTCATTCTTTTTTTCAGATCGTTCTTCTAGCTTACTAGTATTGAAAGACTTATCTCACAAGTCACTAATTCAGGCTTCCCTTGATTTAAAAATACTCCTTTGTCCTTTTGATGGATTATCCATTTCTGAGATCTTAGTAGTAACCTTCTGGATTTCTATTTGAAATTTTGCATTATTTCAAAATTTGCATTTATTTTGTCCACTTGTTGAGGTAGTTATTCCCAAATTTTTCTAAAGTTTTGTCTGTGTTCTCCCTGCTTTCTAAAGGTTTGTCTGTGTTCTCCCTGCTTTTCCATGATCTTTCTGTCATTTCATTGAAGATATTTAGATATCATTCTTTTGAATTCTCTCTCAAGCAGTTCCTCTACCTTTTCTTCCTCAAAAATATTCTCTGCCTCTGCATCTTGGCCATTTGTTTGAGCCACTCTCTTGTTTCTTCATGTGAGTTCAAATCTTCTGTTGTCTCCTAAACACTGTGGTATCATTGTATTTGTATTAAAAGTATGAGTGTTATGTTGTTCTGTTATTAGGCTCTCACCAACTGTCTCCTTGTGGGTATGATGAGAGAATGGAAATGTGTGCGCCGCTTTCTGCTTGTCATGTACACAGCTCAATTTAGGGTGAGTTTGGCTGCCATTGACTGATGTCTATCTTTAATCAGTGGTATAGGAGTTGGTATTGACTGTTGTCCAGTGGGTGGAGCTTCAAATGGTTGTGGCTGAGCTGTATGGGCATGTTTGCTGTCTCCCTCCTGGGTAGGGCAAGAGAAGAAAATACACAGGAGAACAAAACCAAACAAACAAACCACCAAACAATAGCAAAACTAGAATATAATAAAAGAAAAAAAATAATGAAAAACAGGCATCAACAAGAAAAAAGAATATAACTGAAAATAAACCATAAGATTATCTGAGTCAAAATGGCCAATACCAGCTGATTCAGCTCAATAATGTCTAGAATATTGATCTTTATGCATTATGTTTCATTTTTTATGACTTCCAATTTCCTAGATTCATACTTTGTGCATTCCATATTCTGATTATTAATGGATGTTTACAGCTGTTTCTTCTCATTTTGAGTCATGCAAGCCAACACAGTACAACAAACTCACAGCTAAGAGATGGCAATTATTTATAAAAATAAGTAAATGGCATATTTCTTGCACATGTGATGTGTAATTGTGTGATCACCATTCTCACCTTACAGGTTCATTCACCTATGCTGACACGTCTATCTTTGTGGATTTGTTTGATGGAAGCAAGGTCACATACAAAGGTCAGACTGACCCACATAACCCCTTAGAGCAATATGAGCTTATGTTCTGTTTGTGTTTCCAAAGATTTTTAGTAGATAGCTAACTATAATTTTCTATGTCATAATTGCTGAAGATTACCACAGAAGAAGAAGGGAAAAGAAAGAGGAGGACACAAGAGAACTGGCATTTAATTTTGAGACTCTAATGCATCAAGTACTTTGCTATGGGCTTTAATATACTCATTATTTCATTTCAGGAGTTCTGGTGTGTGCTGTAGGATACACAATGGACTGTAAACCACAAGGTAAGCAATTCAAACTCACCTGCAGCTCCTCAGAAGCCCTACAAAGGGTCACTATGGGTTGAAACCGACTTGACAGCATTCAACAATAACAATGCATGAAGTACTTTTTATAGATCTTAATACACTTACTACCTCATTTCATAGCAAACCTTTAAGTTACAAATTAGTGTTCCAATCATTTAGGGGGGAGAAAGAAACCCTATCTTCAAATATACAAATATTATCTTCTTATTGTTGTTAAGTGCCATTGAGTTGGTTTCAACTTATAGCAGCCTGTAAAGGGTTTCAAAGGACCAGATACTGGGTTTGAACCACCAATTTTGTGATTAGCAGTTCAGTGCTTACCCTATAGCATCTCACCAAGACTCCATATAAATATTATTGTTGTTTTTGTTGTTGTTAAGTGCTGTTGAGTTGATTCTGACTCATAGAGACCCTGTATAGGGTTTGGCTGGTGAGCTTCAACTGTCCACTCTGCGCTTCAAATGACCTTGCAGTCTAGCACATTAACCCACAGTGCCATAGCTTGTTGTTGTTGTTAAGTGCCGTGGAGTCGGTTCCGACCCATAGCGACCCTGTACAGGGTTTCCGAGGCTGTAAATCTTTACGGGAGCAGAAAGCCTCATCTTCCTCCCGCGGAGCAGCTGGTAGTTTCGAACTGCTGACCTTGCGGTTCGCAGCCCGATTCATAACCACTATGCTACCAGAACTCCTTAAAGGACTCTATAAATATTATAGAGACCCTTTATTAAACCTTAACCAGAAGTAAAAATAAGACAAAACAAATATAGATCACCCAGGTGAGGGAAACTATCAATATGATGCCATGATTACCTCAACATGGTGATCTGTTATAAGGCACAGAGTACAAAGGAATCTCCAACCACAACCAGGACTGACTAACAGCATCCCAGACGCACACCTGACCTACAGAAGCAGGGAGGGGATGATTGTAAATAGGAAAACTTACAGGCTGTGTCTGAGACTCCTGGGGTATGAGATCAAAACCAGGTGACCCTGCAGTCATTAGAGCCCTTGATAAGGATTTCCTGTTCTTCTTGCACTTCCTGGAGAACATGGCCCAAAAATGAACTTTTTAAATATAGTACTTTTTACTTTGGCAATTTGGCAGTCAGGGTTCATGAGGAATTCATGAAAAATTGGCATCTGAACCCTTAAACCTGGGCACAAGATGGAACTAAGCTTTGCCTGGCTAGAGTCATCCACAGGCAAAAAGCCTTCAGATTCCAAGCTATGAAATATAATTTTATTAATAATAGATATCAGACATACCCTATAAACCTATCATATGAAAATGCTATAAACCTATCATATGAAAATACTGAGTCTAGTGTGATAGGGGTGTTAGTCCTTACAAAATAAAAGGATATGCAAGTTATGCATTAAAATACTTGAGATTTCAATTCAGCCAGAAAGGGGCCATATAGGATAAGCACTGGACTTCCAAACAGAAGGTTGGCAGTTCAAACCCACCAACATCTCCTCAGAATGCCTGAGTCAGAACTGACTCCATGGCACTTGAAAACATCAAAGTAAAATAAAATAGTATCATTATTTGTGGTGATCCTCAAAGTTTTCAAATAAACCGCTGGGGGAAACAGCAAGACTCTCTAAATGGGCTCCTCACACATTTGGTTCCCAGATCTCCTTGCTCCCCTGGATCATTCTTCACTGTCTCTCAAGACCCATATCCCTGACACTGAGCAGAAACATCATGAAGCAAAGAAATAGAATGTTTCATAGGTACAGAGCACAAACAATACTAATGTGTCCACTAAGTAACCTTTGCCATACCCCTGTCCCCACCCCTACTAGAGGATTGACATGATCTTAAAATCAGAGGCAAACTCAATTAATTGTTTACTTTTTTAAATGGCTACAAATAAACGCAATCCTTACTGAAATCTTTCAAAGAGGTGTCAAGGTGTTGATTACATTTTGTGTACCCAAATAACCTGCAAACTATCTGTCTACTCTCCAAATCCAACCACAAAAATGTGGGTCTCTCTTTGGCCATTCTGGTCCATCTAATGCCTCCACAGCGTGTCTCTCCCACAGTCTCATTCACTTTTCAGAGCTTCTCTACCTACCTATTCTTTTTTTCCCTGATTATCTTCTCATCTTTCCTTTGTAAACAATTCTAACTTCCCAAGGTTTTCTCTTTAGTAATATTCACTCATTACCCACAAGGAGCCCAATCTTGGACTCTGAGCCCATAAGGCAAATACAAAATTCTCCTAGGAGGGGAGATCATGGCTGTGAGCAATTATACACTACGTTTTTGCTTCTGTTACACATACACATATACAGAATTTTTAAAATATTTTCACTCCAAATCATGGGTCCATCTATAAAGACCTAGGGATATTTGAACCCCAGATTCAGAACACTGCTCTAAAGTAACTATTCCTTCAGCAACCAAAAGGCAATCAGAACATGAGGAACAGAACAGAAGATCAATGTCTGTAGACCAGGAAGAAATTGGAACACCAGAACCAGAACCAAGGACTCCTGAAAGAAAATCTGACTCCTAAACTGACTGGTGTCATTTCTGAATCCTAAAGGCCTGCCATGCCTCATCTACACAGTCATTACCTGACTCTGATCCTTCCTGACAACTGAGCTCTCCATTGTCACTGAGAGCAAAAACAACCATTCCAGAGGGTACTGCTAACCCCAACGGTGGCCTGCAATTAAAAAAAAAAAAAAAATGACCCAGATAAGATGAGTCACTGCAGTCTTAGGATAGAGACTACAAAAGTGACAAGAAGTGCAGGGATGTCAGTCTTATCCTGGTATGGGGACCACTGATAGAGGAGGGGACAGGCTAAATAAAGGCAGAAGCTACTGAAGATGTAGGAAGTAAGGCCACAAAAAAGTTAAGAGTCACTTACCTGCATACAGCTGGGCCTTTCTCCAGGCTGAAAGGGAACACACCCCTAGTGAGACTACAGTCATACTCACCATGAATCAACCGGCCATCACCCACCCCTATGTTCTTAAGGTGTGACTATGCAGAGCAAGACAAATGCTGGAAAAGAGATGATGAACTGTTGAACACAGAGCCAGGTAGGGATGGTGGGAAATTTCCATGAACACAAGTCAGGAAGCCAGAATTACAATTCAAGTTCACTGTATTCCACTAATAATCAAAGGTACATGTGAAGTTATTTTAGTGAATATAAATTGTTCCATAATCATAATATCTAGTCACTTTCTGGGAAATATACATCTGGAAAATTATCAGGAGAAGGAATGAAAATAGACAGAGATGTATGACAAATTCCAGGTAAAATTAGCCAGCCCATCTAAAATAGATCTATATTTTCCCAGAGGTAATATCCTGGGGAGCTCTCAGCTCATATTACCATATTTCTCAGCATAAGCATCCCAGTCCTCTCCCCATCACTTTTCCATCAGTACCTTCAGGAGTTGGGAGAACTCACACTCACAGAGAGGAGGATTCTTGTTGCTAAGTGCCATTGAGACTACACATTGGGAGGGCAGTAAGTCACAGCCCTAAACATAATAACCCCATATCTTTACACAGCTCCTTTCATGAAACTCCTGAGCATCTGCCTTTTAGCTTCCAGGTGCAGACTTAGAGCCAGCTGCACTGAAAGTTCAACACTAACAATACAGGACACAGGCCAGCTCTGGAATGAGAAGACCCAAGATGCATAACAGTTTCCAGGTTCGAACACTGGGTGGGAACAGAGCCCCTGATCCAGGAGAGTCCCAGGGGCTCGATTCTGCTTCCCACTACCTTCTACTTCTGCCCCAGGGAACACAGTTCTTATATATATATACCAGAGAGGCACAGAGAGAAGGCACACCTAGACCCAGGTGGGATGGGAAATCCAGGGACATTTGGAGAGTTACTCACCAGTGTGATAAATCGCCTTCCTTCTCTCTGAAAGGCAACATAAAGGAAATGAGGTGACCTAAGAACTAGACAGTCTTCCCCAAACAGGACACTGAGAGTTCAGGAGGGATTGAAGAACTTACCCAGGTCTCTCTGGAATTCATCTGAAAGAGGAAGGGGGAAAAAGCATGAACTCTATCCCTAAGAAAAGGAAAGACTGTGCTAGAAAATCCACACAAAAAGACTCCCTCTATGTACTGCAGAAACTTCTTCCAGATTCATCTGAGACCTCACAGCCCCGTGCACCTCTCCAGATCTCCTGAGATTCCTGTTCTCAGCAGGGGGCCTGGGTCTCCCTGGAAAGCACTGTTACCAGCTCTATTCCTGCCTTCAACTTTTCCTCAAAACACCAGCTCTGCTCTCCCCAGTCTAACACAGTTACCTGCCTCCTTCATAGCCAACTTCCATTCCTTCTCCTCTTCCTCCTTAGCCTGCTGAAGAGTCTTCCAAACCTTCCACTCCTGCACCTTTGCTGAATGTTCTTTCTGGAGAAAATAGCCAGCCCCTAAGCTGAGAAGCATCAGCATGGTCAGGCTCACCACAAAAACTTGCATCCAAGGAAAAGAAGCCTGAGGGAAAAAGGGCTCTGCAGCCCGGCCAGAGACACAGTCAGGGCACACTGCAGGCCAACCCAGCCCAGCCCAGCAAAATAAGAGACCCTGGTCTCCTCCCTCCAGCCCAGTTGAAAGTAGAAAAAGTACGGACCTGGGATGAAAATCGCCTTCACCTTCTCCTGAACCAGGATGGGGTTAAAGATGGAGCAGGTCACGTTCCTTACAGAGCTGTCTCTCACCACCAGCGAGGCCTCCACACTAAACAGTCCCTCAGCATCTTGAGCATGGACCTCAGAGAAAGCCAGGAACTTTTCTCTACTCGGGTCTCTCCACTGAACCTGAGGCTTCGGAAACCACCCAGAGGCTGTGCACACCACATGGATTCCATCTTCCTGTGGTCCTTCAATGTGCACTTGAGGGTCAGATCCCACACCTGCAGGAAGGAAGCTGTGGAGTCAGAGTAGCCACCTTGTCCCAGGTGCAGGCCGGGGATGCTGGAAGTGTGACTCATAGGGAGCCTTTACTCTTGTATTTTAAGGTTCTCTGGGAAGGTCAGAATCTGGTGTGGCACTATAGGATAAACACTGGACTGCTATCTCCAAGGTCAGCAGTTCAAACCCACCAACTGCTCCTACAAGACCCTATACAGGGTTGCTATGGGTCAGAACAGACTCAAGAGCAATTAATAACAACAACATGGGAAGATCGCACCCTAGTGATGGCAAGGCTCAGGTTTCACCAAATGGAACCTGGGAACGAGCATAAGGACTCTTTACAGAGCCCTGAAGCTGGATATTAAGAGATTCTGGTGGCATACTGGGCTAAGTGCTGTGCTGGTAAATGCAAGGTCAGAAATTCAGACAAACCTTAAAGATTTTCAGCCTAGGAAATCCCATGGAGCTGTTCTACGCTGTCCTATATGTCAAACTCAACTCAACTCAACAGGTGACTACTCTTTCTAGCCCACAGAAGTAGAAAAAAAAAAAAAAAAAAAAATTGAAGTAACTTAAATTTCCTTTCTTGACATGTAGCCTAAATGAATGGACAAAACTCAGACCAGACCAGAAAAATATAGCATCATTACAAAAACTTTTCAAGGCATAAAATAAACTAGGCCCTACGATTTTGCAAAACAAAGTTTTTTATAATAAATTTATGCTAATAATAGGAAATATTTGAAATTAAGAGATTTGTGGATTTAGTTCTTATATTTTGCATCAATGACTACAAGCTTCTCTTTATCCAAACTGATCTTACTCTCATTTTCTTGTCACATGTCACAAAATGAGAGGAAATCTCCTTCACTCAAGGATGATTAAGCCTCTGAGCTCCAGAACCTACAAGGCCACCGTCTCTTCTTCCAAGCCTTGGTCCCATCACTTATCACCTCCCTTCCCTCTCCTCCTCTCTGCTCACTCTCACCTCTTCCTTCCCACCCCAACCTTATTGTTAATCTCTTTATCTCCACCTGCTTCTTCTCCTAAATGCATACACATGTTCAAATGTTTACAGTCTTCTTCTCCCTCTCTTAGAACAGTAAACTTCATAATACAAGAACACCTCTATCTCTCACATATATCTCAGTCCCCCAAAGTCTAATTTTTCCTACTATTCACTTGAATCTGCTCTTGGAGTTCACAACAATCTACTTCTTGGAAGCCCAGCCCTCACACTGCAGCCCTTCTTCCTCTTCTTTGTTCAACACGTGACACTGGTGATTTCATCTTGAAACCAGCTCCACCTTGGCTTGATGACCATTCCCATTTGGTTGGTGTGTTACCCCTCAGACCACTCTGCTAAGCCTCTTTCCTGGACTTCTCTTCCTCCCCCTACACTTTAAAAGCAGGCAAAGTACAAGGATTTGGTCCTTGAATCTCTATTCTCATATTACCCTTCTTTGCTCAAACTGCTTCTCTTTTAAATCACTTTCAAAATTAGGTCTAGTAAGCAACTCTGTCTCCCAAATCCCCCTCCATCATATCCACTTCCCCATGAGTAACTTTATAAGGATTTCTGACATGCACTTCAAATTCAAAATTACATAACAGAATTCATATTTTTGTCCTGGTGTGGTGCTGTGGGTTAATGCACGAGACTGCAAAGTCAGTTTGAACTACAAGGTCGGCAGTTTAAGGTTACCAACCGCTTCCCGGAAACCCTATACAGGGTCGCCATGGGTGGGGCATTTAACAACCACAACAACAAATGGTAGATTGAATACAAAGATAGCCCTTGTTGTCATCCTTCTTTATAGCCAACTCACCCTTTGCTGTATCACTTGTAATGCTCTCCCACATTGACTCTTCGATAGGCCATGTGACTTGATTTGGCCAGTGAGAAATGAGCAAATGTGACACAAGAAAAGGTTTGTAATGTGCCATTGGACCCTCTGCTATTAGCATGGGAGGGACATACACAGGCCAGCCTGCTGGAGGAGGAGACTCATGGACCATCAGCTTGTTACCCTAGGCTTCCCAGATGAACCACCCTTAATCAGCTATTTGACTCCCATCATATGAAAACCCAGACAAGGTGTACATGGTTACCTCTTAATTTGACCAAAAATGTATGAAGGAGCACAGCTGAAATTAGCTAAACCCAGCCCAGGTTAGCTGAATGCTAAAAATGCTCAAGTTAAATGCTTGCTGATATATAGCACTGAGATTTTATGACCAATTGTTATATAGCATTATTACAGTGATAAGTAATTAGTACATCATTATCAATGTTCCCACCACTAAATTGCATACATCTAAGGCAAAGACCTGAGAATTTCTGTGACCCCCAATTCTACCTCCAAACTCTAGTGTCCCCAAATCTACTCACTCAGTTAAGTCTACTTTCTAAATCTCTCTTCTGCCTAATCCCTCATTTCCCCCTCCACTTCCTGAGTCCACAGTCATCCTGTCCACCTCATAACTACACTCCACACCTCCAGGTGTTCTCCCTGCCAGAGTGAGCATTCCCAGTGCTCCTCTGCTTAACATTTCCTCAGGTCTGCATCTGAACTCTGTAACACAGAGCATAGCTGTTGTTGTTGCTATTAAGTTCTGTCAAGTTGATTCAGATTCATAGCAACCCTGTATAGTGTTTTCAAGGAGCAGCCGCTGAGTTTGAACTGCCAACCTTGCGGTCCAGTCCATATCTTACAGCACCACATCAGGATTCTATAGAATACAGAGCCTTCTCTAATTCAGCATCTGCCTTCCTCTCCAAAGGCTTCTCTCAAACTCTTCCTCCCCCTACTCCCCTCACTTGTTCCCTCAGGGCCCACCTACTCTAGCACCAAGGGCTAACTGGTTCATTGTTATTAAGCACACTGCTCTGTGTGCCACAAGCCTTTGCAAGTTCAGTTCCCTCAACTATGGAGGTGCTTTGGAAGCTTGATTAATGAACTCAAGTGACACTTCAGTATCTGTGCCCCCTCTGCAATCTGTACCAGGAACATTTGTTGTACAGTCAACACCTCATACCCTCCTGTCCTTCATTTACTCACACCAGTCACAAGGCCTCACTGTGGGCCTAGAACACAACAGTTACACTCTCACTCAGAGTTTTCACTAACTCTTCCTTCTGCTTGGAATTCTCATCTCCCACATATTCATTTAGTTAAATCACTACTTTCTTCAAGCCTTTGCTCAGACAGTACATTCTCCGTAAGGCCCGGCCCAGGCCCCATTCCTCAGTCCTCACCCCATATCCTGACCCCATATCACTTTTCTACTTTCCTTTTATTTTGTCATTTCGCTTGATTTTACTGTTCTTTTTTAAAAAATAAAAGCACATCTTTGACTGACAGAGGTTACGGAGGTTTCTTAGGGTACCAGACCTGGTACTGCAGTTTAATTCTCCCGCAGGCCTTCAGTGGTGATTACAGGTTCTATTTACAATTTGAAGACATTTTTGTTGGTTTTTTTTTTTTTTTTTTTTTTTTTTTGGGAGTAGGGAATAACTTAGTAACCAAAGGAAGGTCATTAGGTGATGAGCAAGCTTGTAAAGTGAGTGTATGGTTTGTTTGTTGTTGTTTTTTGGACTTGAGTTTGACAATGGGAAAGACAATAGTCCTAACCCATACTGATGACCATGGATACATGCTGCCAAGTGCTCAGAATCCTGGGCCCATCTCCTGGTTTGAAAGGCAGCCTCCAACAACAATCCTGTATTTGCATCTCAGTGAACTGAAGGTCGGCGGTTCAAATCCACCAACTGCTCCTCGAAAACCCTATACAGGGCCACTATTAGTCAGAACAGACTCAAGGACATTTAACAACAATAGAAGAGAGTGTGAGCGTCAGGGAGGCATCTCTCTCCTCCTCACGTAAGTCCTGCCATTAGTACTCCTGCAGGCCCCCGTGGGGGGGTGACCTCAGTTTCTGGACCCTGAGAACCTTGGTAGTGCAGTCCTGAAGAACAGGATTTCAGTCAAGTCAAAGCCAAGGTCAATGAATCAGGTGACCTTCAAGTATCAAGATGTAAACACAAGGATTGTTGTTGGAGCTGCCTTTTCAAACCAAGAAGGAAGCCAGGGTTCCGAGCACTGGCAATGTGCATCCATCCACAACACTGCGGGTTAAAACACTTCATCAGGGGCTACTACTCTTTAAGGAAGGCTTGTGCTTACTCCACTCTTAACCCTACACATGATTTCAATCCACCAGTCCTTTCCCAAAGCCTTGGTGTTTTGTTCTGGAAAATTCCAGCTGCATGGAGGTTGTGGGTAAGAGCTTAAAAAGGCACAGTGACCCTCTGGGATGGGCGTGTATGGAGTCTCCAAACATTGAGAGGCAGGGATTCTTGGGTTAGTGGCAACACTGGCCTCATCACCCACATCTGAGAGCTCTTTCCAGAAGGTCCAATCTGTCCCCGCCTCTTTGTAACACAAAACAAGGTTGGGGGTCCTCACACCACCGTTCATGAGGACAAACACCAGGGTCTACTGCTGACAGCCTCAAGTCACATTTTGGGGCCATAGAGCACACAGCTAACTATGGTGGCTGCTGGCTATTTTTTCTTAAAAATTTAACTTAAAAAATTAAACAACAACAGTTTAAAGAGTGGAAGACAGGTGATGTAATAACTTGTGAACACCACCACACCTCCAGCTTCCGCAGCTTTCCTAAAGCAACATCTTGACTACACCCTGGGCCGACGGCAGCGACAGTGAGGAAGTACTGGAAGGCAACTTCCCAAACCCCAGGCGTTTTCCCAACCCTTTATCACCCACAGGCCCGCTGATGCTGCTGACCCTGTTTGTCACTGCCGTCTCTGTTCTTACTCCCCCTCCCAGAAACTGGGCCACTCGTTCGGTTTGGGGACTGTTTATATACGAAGTTCCTGCAGGATGCAAGTTTGGATTCCAGGGCCCCTACTTTCCGCAGCAGGTCTCCCACAAAGTGGAGGGCAGATATCCGAGCCTCAGGTGTGAGGGGGGTCCCACCACTGGAGTCATCCAGACCACGTCTGAAGGTCCCTGGGGTGTTCAAGCTGGAACTGGGTCCTCGATGGGCTGCGGGTGTGGACGACACGGAGTCAGTGGCCTGCACAGCCGTGTCTGACCGCTCAGCCTCCAGCGCTCTGGGCATGGGCGTCCGCGGCTTTCTCCTGCTTCTGTGCACCACCAATTCCTGCCGCAAATCTCTGACTTCATCCTTCAACCTCTGGACGGATTCTAGGAAATTTTCCTTCTCATCAAGCTTGCTCTCCAGAAAAGCGTTTCATTCAATGGCTTGATTCAAACGCTGCTCAAAGTCTTCCAGGGACATGATCGTGGCTCTTTTTGCTCTCTCCAAGTCATCATTGGCTTGCTCCAGCTCTCAGATGTATTTCTGCAATTGGTTTTTAATTGCTTTTGTCTGGGCGAGGTTATCCACCAAGGCCGAGATCTGCCGGTAGCCTTCAGAAGCCTGCATTTCAAACTTCTCCTTGATGGTCTCTAGCTCCACGAGGAGGCGGATGTTTTCAGACAGGAGGTCCCGGTTCCTGGTTTAGATTTGTTGCAGCTACATCTCCAGTTCAGCTTCATAGTCTCGACTTCCCTCTTGGAATTCTCACAGTTCTTCTAGAATATTCTCTGCCCTCTGTTTGTAGGTCCTAGCCAGGTCTTTCTAGTAGTTAGCTTCTTTCTCCTCGGAGCTGAACGTCGTCTTTCCGGAGTCCTCCATCGTGAAACAGGGACGACACCTACTCTTCTGAGGCATGGTGTCGGACTCTGGCAGCTAGGACTCCATGGCGGTGGTGATTACTGCTGCTGCTGAGGCGGCAGCGGCAGAGGCGAAGGGTGGTGCGGCCTGGGCTCCCGGCGCAACCCCTGTCCCCACCCCAGCGCTAACGGCCCTCTACTTTCCTTTTTGTCCTCAGAACTGTTTACCTTCTAATAACATCTATCACTTATCTATTTATTGTGATTTCTCTGTCTCTGCATTTAGAATATGAACTCCACACAAGGATCTCTTTTGGTTCACTGATATGTCCCAGGCACCTACAACAGGCTCTGGCACAGATTGTTGTTTTTAAGTGCCATCGAGCCAGTTCCAACTCATAACAACCCTGGATAGGGGGTCTGAGGAGCCCTTGGTGAATTTGACCAAAGGCTGACGTTCAAACAACCTTGCAGTCCAGTGCATTGTCCACAGCACCACACATATTAGGAGCTCTCTGTCTTTTACACTGGATAAAAGAACGAGTGAGTCTCCTTCTGCATCTATTAAATGATGGACTGAATTAAATTATCCCGAAGGATGTTCCGACCTCCAACCCTCCAGGAATCTGCAATATATAGACATATCACTAACCTGCCACCTTCACCTCCAAAGGGGCCTCTCCATAGAAATCTCCATTCTTGAAGAAGCAGATGTACAGCCCATCGTCAGAAGCCTGAATCCTGTCGATGAGTACAGCAGCCACCCCCTGAGTGAGGAAGTCTCTCACCAGCGAGGTCCGCCCTTTGTACTGTGGCATCTGCTTCTCCTTCTGCTCCTGCTGGTTCTGATAGATGAACACCACTTCTGAGAAGATGGACCGGAACCACCGCAGCTCCATGTTCTCCGCATTCATGGCAGGGGACAGGGAGCAGGGCAGTGTGATGGCCCCACCCAGCACGGCCACAATGGGATCCACAGGGCCAATCACCTGGAACTTCTCTGTGGATACAGACATGGGAATGAGAACGCTAGAGATATGCAAGGTGATGGGAAAGAATACACAGTCAACTTGGGAGGACCCCTGGCTCCTAAAGAAATAAGCTGTGCGAACTCTGAGTGGGGTGAGATGTTCTGATCACAGACAGCATCATGGCCCAGAATTGATGTCATAGACCTGGGCTCCTGGTCAAAGATCCTTCCATGAAAGACCCTATAAATTCATGGCTGTTGTTGTGTGCCGTGGAGTCGACGCATAGCGACCCTGTATAGAGTTTTCGAGGCTGTAAATCATTACGGGAGCAGAAAACCTCATCTTTCTCCCGCAGAATGGCTGGTAGTTTCAAAGTGCTAACCTTGAGGTTTGCAGCCGCATTCATTAATACTACGCTACCAGTGCTCCTTTGTTGTTGTTTTTGTCAAGTGTCGTCGAGTCGATTCCGACCCATAGCGACCCTGTATAGGGTTTCCAAGGAGTAGCTGGTGAGCTTGACCCGCCGACCAGAGCTCCTTTACTCCAGTTTAAATGTGGGTTTAACCCTTTCAGATAGCAGTTGAACATTTTAACCAAAGCACCAACACAACTTGTTCAGAATCAACCAGTAAAACAGATCTCTGGAAACTACCTCCAAAGTTTCTGATTCAGTAGGTCTAGGAGAGGCAAAAAAATGTGTATTTCTCAGGAGTTCCCTGTGGTTTTGTAGGCCAATGGGAGAATTCTAGCTTCCTTTGCAGTCCAAACAGCTTTTGGTTCATTGTTTATGGGGTCACTATTAGTGAAAGCCAACCTATGGCGGTTAACAATAATAACAAGGAGTTACAGAGATTCAGATATGCTGGTCCAGGGACCACACTTTGAGAACCACAGCCCAAGCCTGGCCCCATGTCAGGACAGGACTGAAAACTGACCTGAGGCCACAGAGATCTAGGTCTGAACTCTGATCATTTAGTCAACCCCAGGAAATTCCCCACCCCCACTCCTAACTTTCCTTAGTTGTGCCCATAGCTTTCTCTTGCACTAAAATATGTGCACTTAAAACTCAGAGTCAAATGTGGTTTCTGCCCTCACTCCCCAGGCTCCCAAAAGCATCATTAAAGCATCTTGTTAAAGAAAAAGTAATGTACTGCCCTCGTCTTTCTGAAGTGGACAAGCTGTACCATGACTCCTCTGCAGACCAGGTCCCTCTAGATTCCCAAGTGTCATTCCCTACTCCTACAACCTGGCCTAGCCATTGTTCCTCATCTGGAGGGCCACAGCTGACTGGTTTCCCCTGTTGTCCCTCATCCCACCTGTCTATTTCCTACAAGGCAGCCAAAGTGATCCTTTTCATGTGTAAAGCAAACCTGTCGGGGTCCCACTCTGCTCAAAGCCCTGGATAGTTCCCCATTTCCCTCCAGTGACCCACAGGTCCTATAGGGATGGTTCCCAGAACAATTCTAACCTTGGTTCCAGCTTCTCTACCCTTCACTCCCTCTGCTCCAACCAACACTCACTTCTTTGACCTCACTAGGCACATGGTCAGCCTTGCACTGGCTGACAGTTCCTGCAAAAACAGGAACTTTCTCCAGAGATCCTCATGCTCACTTCTTTCCTCCCCCAACTCTTATTTGACCACCCTATAGAGCACTGCAGCCTGCACACACCCCACCTCCCCTCTAACACTGTTCATACTTGCTGTACTAATCTCCTCTAACAGACTATACTTTTTCTAGGTTTATTGCATTTAATATTCACTGATTCCTGCTAGAATGTTAATTAGTTAGTTAAGTGTTACTGACTTGGTTCCGCAACAGGTTTGAACAACAGTTAGCAGTCCAGTATCACACCAGGAATCCTGCTAGAATGTTGTTATTTTCTTAAATGCCATTCAGTTGGTTCTGACTCCTAACAACTCTATGTTCAACAGAGCAAAACACTGCCTAGTCCTGCCACATCTGCACAACTGCTGCCAGGCTTGAGTCCATTGTTGTCACCACTTGCCAATCCATCTCAGAGTCGGGACTACCCCTATCCTTTGCTGTCCCTCACACTTTAGTAAACCTGATGTCCTTCATCAAGGACTGGTCCTTCCTGATAATATGTTCGAAGTATGAGAAATGAAGTCTGGCCATCCTGGCTTCCAGGAAGCATTCTGGTTGCATCTCTTCTAACACAGATTGGTTTATTCTTTTGGCAGTCCATGGCACTTTAAACATTCTCTTCCAACAACGTAACTCAAAGGTATCAATTCTTCTACAGTCTTCTTTATTCACTGTCTAAATTTCATATGCATATGAGGTTATTGAAAATACCATGGCTTCTATCAGGTGCACCTTAGTCCTTAAACTGACATCTTTGCTCCTCAACACTTTAAAGAGATCTTGTACAGCAGATATGCCTAATGCAATATGTCGTTTGATTTCTTGACTGCTGCTTCCATGAGCAATGATGGTGGATCAAGTAAAATGAAGTCTTTGGCAACTTCAATCTTCTCTCAGTTCATCATGATGTTATTCATTACTCCAGTGGTGAGGATTTGTGTTTTCTTTACATTGAGGTGCAGCTCATACTGAAAGTTCTGTTCTGTGATCTTCATCAGTAAGTATTTTAAGTCTTCTTCATTTTCAGCAAGCAAGGTTGTATCATCAGCTTATCACAGGTTGTTAATGCTGCTTCCAATTCTAATGCCACATTCATCTTCATATAATCCAGCATCTCCGATTATTTGTTTAGCATACAGATTGAATAAATATGGTGAAAGAATACAATCCTAGAGCACACATTTCCTTTTTTTGAACCATTCAGTGCCCCCTTGTTCTCTTCAAAGGACTGCCTCCTGGGCTATGTACAGGTCCCTCATGAGTACCACCATTAAATGTTCCACAATACTCATTCTCCACTGTGTTGTCCATAGCTTGTCATGGCCCACACAGTCAAAGGCCTTGGCATGGTCAATAAAGCACTGGTAAACATCTTTCTGGTATTCTCTGTTTTCAACCAATAGCCATCTGATGTCAGCAATGATATCTCTCATTCCACACCCTCTTCTGAATCATTCTGTACCTCTGGTGGTTCCCTGTGAATGTACTCTACCAACCACTTTTTAATTATCATTACAAAAATTTACTTGTGTGTGATATTAATGATATTGTCTGATAACTTCCACAATCCAGTTGGTCACCTCTCTTTCGAATAGGCACAAATATGCATCTCTTCCAATCAATTGGTCAGGCAGCTGTCCTCCAAATTTCTTGGCATAGATAAATCACATGCTACATCACTATGTTGAAAGATTTGTATTCCATCAATTCCCAGAGCCTCAGTCTTTGCCAACACCTTCAGTGCACTTTGGGCTTCTTTCTTCAGTGCCATTGACTCTTGTTATATGCTATTTCTTGAAACGGTTGAACATTGACAATTTCTTTTTGGTACAGTGACTCTGTATTCCTTCCATCTTTTGTTGATGCTTTATGAATCATTCAATATTTTGCCCAAAGAATCCTTCAGGATTTCAAGTCAAAGTTTTAATTTTTCCTCAGTTCTTTCAGCTTGAGAAATGCTGAGCTTGCTCTTCCCTTTTGATTTTCTAACTCTACATCTCTGTAAATTTCATTATAATGTCTGACTTTGTTTCCTCAGACTTACCTTTGAAATGTTCTGTTCAGCTCCTCTGCCTCTTCATTTCTTCCATTTGCTTTAGCATCTCTACACTAGAGTACAAGTTTTATAGTTTCTTCTGACATCCAATTTGGTCTTTTTCTTTTCTCTTGTCTTCTTAATGACATTTGCTTTTTTCCTCTATGATGTTTTAGATGTCATCCCACAACTCATTGGTTTTTGGTTACTAGTGTCTAATGCACCAAATCTGTTCTGGAGATGATCTTTAAGTTCAGGTGGGACATACTCAAGGTTATATTTTGGCTCTCATTGACTTGTTTTAATTTTCTTCACCTTCAGCCTAAATTTGCCTATGAGCAGTTGATGATCTAGTTGCTTCCACAGTCTGCCCCTGACCTTGTTTTGGCTGATGATATGGAGCTTTACCATCATATCTTTCCACAGATGTAGGCAGCTTGAATCTGTGAGCTCCATCTGGTGAACTCCATGTGTATTATCTTCTTTCAAGTTGTTTAAAAAAGGTATTTGTAATGAAGAAGTCATTGGTCCTGAAAAATTCTATCATGTGATCTGCATCATCACTTCTATCAGCAAAACCATGTTTTCCAACTACTAATCCTTCTTCTTGTTTCCAACCTTTGCACTCCAATCACCAGGAATTGTCAGTACATACTGATTGCATGTTTGATCAATTTCAGACTGATGTGGCTGAATTCTTCAATTCAACATCACTGGCTTTAACAGTTGGTCCAAAAATTTGAATAATACTGGTATTAATTTGTCTTCCTTGTAGGCACATGTATATTATCCTATCACAGATAGTATGATACGTCAATATAGATGTTGAAATGTTCTTTTTGATGATGAATGTAACACCATTCCTCTTCAATTTGCCATTCTCAGCATAATAAACCAGGTAATTGTTAGATTCAAAGTGGCACATATGAGTTCATTTCAGCACACAGATGCTTAGTATATCGATGTTTATGAGTTCCATTTCATTTTTGAAAACTTCTAATTCTCTTGGATTCATACTTCACATGTTCTATGTTCCAATTATTAATGAATGTTTACAGCTGTTCCTCCTCATCTCTCTAACATTAGCTAGAATGTAAACTTTATGAAAACAGTGACTCAGTTTTGCGCTATTCACAGAGCAACACCTAACACCCATGCACTACCATCAAGTTGATTTTCAGATCATAGCAACACTGCATAGGGTTTCCAAGGCTATAAATTTTGTGGGGAACAGAAAGCCTCATCTTTCTACTAAGAAGCAGCTGCTGAGTTTGAACTGCTGACCTTGTTGTTAGCAATCCACTGCTTATTATACAGCACCACCAGGACATTTATTTTAACATATAATCCCTAAAATTCAAACCCACGGCCATAGAGGGGACTGTGATTCGCTGTGGCCCTAT